AGACACAAGCCTCTTATTGCCCTTGTTGTGTCTGACAAGTACTCGATTAATTGCACACCCTCTGTAGAAGCTGAGCCATCATATTGAGCTGAGTGCACTAATAAAAGGATATTATTTAACAATTCAACCTCCATCAACTCACTTTCATCCTGCCTCCCTGAGTTAGTGAACAAAATTAATGAGGATGCTGTGACCATGCCTAATGGCTTATTTGCAACCCTCTCAGCACTCCCCGCCCCCTTTTCTGGGAGTCCCCTTCAACTTGTCAGTTTCATTATCTAGTTGATGCAAACAAAGATTCTGACAGTAGTTTGTGGGTGGCTGTCAGAATGGATGGCTGTTTGTGTGGGAAAATGCATAGCTTGCTTGAGAGTTGTGGTTAGGATTCTAGGTAGTCATATAAAAACAAACAAATAAACAAACAAAAAAACACAAAGGATACCTCACAGGGAAAAATCAAGCTAAGGTTTTAATTTTGATGCTCATACAATATAGCTCATGCTTGAATGACCTGGGCTTGTAGAGCTGGGGCATTATGCAATATACCCAACCCTAAAAAGGGCACAAGAATGATGTGATCTTTTGGGAGATGAGTCATCAACTTGCAGAGAAGGCAATGCAGTAGAATGGAGAGGATGCTGGGTGAAGTACCAGTTGACCTAGATCTCACTATGGACAAACCCATCTACCTTGCTGGGCCTAGAATCATCACCTGTAAAATGATGTGAAATTGGCAGCTCTTTGAAGCTTGACTACACCTGGTGTGGTGCTGCGCGTTAATGCGCTAGACTGCAAGGTTGGTTTGAACCGCAAGGTTGGCAATTCAAGTTCATCAGCCTCTCCTTGGAAATCCTATACAGAGTCGCTATGAGTTGGACTCAACTCGACGACACTTACCAACACCTGGTGTGATGCTGTAGGATAAGCACTGGACTGCTCAAACCCAGCAGCCACCACCTTGGGAACCCTCTACCGGGTCGCTGAGTCAGACCAGACTGGAAGGCACTCAGTAACAACAACACATGAAGGTAAATATTGGAGTTATTATTAGCTCAATTTTATGGAAAGGAAATGGAGATTCAGAGAGGTTTAAGAAATTATCCAAGGTCACACAGCTAGAAAGCAGCAGAGCCTGTATGCAGTAATAGAGCTGTTTGACTTCAATCTTTGGGTTCATGACTATGAGGGCATCTGGTCCCCATGGGGAAAATGTGTACCATTTTCTAGATGAGATCTTCAAGGATGTGTTCAATAACATACACTGGCTCATGGTGAAGACATGGCCTTATGTCTGTCTATTTCCAATGTCCATGCTCTTAGCCACTGCATTAGATTTCCATTTAGGATTATAGCCATCACTATCTTGAAGGCTTGGACTTCTGGTGTGGCGTTGCCGGTTAATGCGGTAAGCTGCAATGTCAGTTTGGGCCATTAAGGCCGGCAGTTCTAACTCACCAGCTGCTCCTTGAAAACCCTGTACAGGGTCACTATGAGTCGGATCCCAACTCGATGGCACTTAGCAACAACAATCTTGAAGGCTTGGTGTAGCGCGGTAAGGTAAGCACTGGACTGGTAACCACAAGGTTCACATTTCAAACCTACCAGTCACTCCTCAGAAACAGGGTCACTATATATTGGAACAGACTGGAGGTCACTTAACAACAAAGTCTTGAAGATGTGTAGAGGAGATTATTGTTGTTGTTAAGGACTGTGGTGGCGGCGGTGTGCCATGGAGGCGGTTCCGACTCATAGCGACCCTACATAAGGTTTCCGAGGCTGTAAATCTTTATGGGAGCAGAAAGCTTTATCTTTCTCCTGCAGAAAGATCAGTAGTTTCAAACTGCTGACCTTCAGGTTAGCAGCCCAACTCGTAACCACTACGCTACCAGAGCTCCTGTTTGGTACTGTAAAGGGGGTAATTAGAGGAAAATTCAGATGTACATCTAGTAAGTTCCCTAATTTACTATTATAGGGAGAACGATTCAATGGTCTTAAATTCTGAAATAGCTCTGGCTGACCAGTAGGACTAACACCCAGCACAATGTTTTAAGCAAGATGCCCATTTGAAAATTTTAAATTAGAGTTCTGCAATTGCTTGCATATATATAACACACACATATATCAAACACCACGTGTGCACCATGTTAGAATTTATTATAATACAAACAGTCCAAACACAATATATTATCTAATTAAGAAAATAGGAACATTTACTATTTCTCTATGGTACCTCCCATTCTTTGAACTGGAGGAACCAACACTGGAGTCTGTAATTCACTTCAGATATCACTCCCATCCCCTCCCCCATGTTGGATCCGTAGGCACCAATTGTGCAAAGTAATCTTTTCTGATTGCAAGGTGCTCATAAAGTTGAAGGTTCTGCTGTCTCAAGGTCTGTCTTTTATGGGTTGTCGGTCATCCCCTTCCCCACATCCTCATGAGACATTAAGAAGAAACAGCGTATACGTATGTAACATCACGGCATGTCCAAACCAGGACACAGCCCCTTCAGCAAGAAAGATGCTTGCCAAAAGTCCCTTTCAGAGGCACCACAAAAACCCGAATATTGGTCATTGCTCAAGTGCCATCAGCAGCAGCTGTTTTATATGACCAGCTTCAAATTTAACGGCTTTATTTCCAAAACTGGCTTAAAATATTTTCTTAAAAAAGAACAAAAAAAACCTCTTCATTATTGTCCATAATTGCTACTATAAATAAGAATAAATTAAGAGTCTTTAAGTTTTCTGAAATGCATTTCAGCAGCTACATTTCAACCAAACCCAGTGAACATTTCTTGGCATTGGAAGCAGTAGGTAGCCAGCCACTCACTGAAGTGCCTTTGAGACTCGGACCGCTTTTAAATATGACTTCTCAAAATATAAAATACAGTCAGAGGAAGAGAGACCACACTACTACTTGGCCGAGCTTCTATTGTTAAGTAATAAATGAGTGTCTTGGGAAAGCATTCCAAATGCACACTGAGTGTTTACATCTTTAAACATCAATAATTAATTAGTACATACAATTAAAAACAAGGAGTGGGGAGCTTTGAGATCTGCATACATATTTTCCATATGTTCTCCAAAAGGAACAGCTTCATCTTTAAAGATATTGCACTTTGACTCATTCATGAATTATCTCAAGCTAGTATTTGTCAGAGCTAGACATTTTTAAAAAATATCATATATATTGGGGGTAGGTAGCCTTTGGTCAGAAAGGGATGTAGTGAGACTGCATCATACACACAGTTAATGTACACATATTCAACTACATGTGCTTGGCAAACAAAGAAACAGTGAACTGCAATTTCTTTTAAGGGCACGGGGAATCTGACCTCCACTGGGCTCAATGGGGAGACGAATGCCCTGGGGAGAGTGGGAGATGGGAGACTTGAACTTGCTCCCTTTCTCAGGAAAACAAATTCTATGAGCCTCACAGAAGCATGAGCATCTCTCTGCATCGGTGTGATTTCAACGATCTCAGATGTCTCAGACTAATGTAATATGATCCCTAAATGCAAGCCAACTCCGTCTTGTCTTCAGCTAAAGAAACCAGAAGACATACCTGTTCCAATGCTGGAGAACACTTAGCTGTGTTGGGAGATGAACTATAGCCTCAAACACAGCCTTCCTAAGGACTCTGCAAAGGTAATGTTGGCTATCCCAGATTGTTGGCTTTTGTACTGGCTTTAAAATACAATTGTTCAGGGACAATGAGGCTCTTATTACTTTCCTTTAAAAGGTGTAGGAATTAGGATGATCAGGACTAATGTGACCTGAAATTACATTAAGTTAGTTTTTAAAGTATTGCCTGAAGCTTAGGGCTTGTGTTGCATTGGGGGTCTTTTCCCCCTTGCCCATTTATTGCGAATTTCCCTGAAAAAAGGATAGACAATTTGGGAACAAAGATGCAGTAAAACCCTGATATGAGGAACCTAGTGTTCTAAGACTGTTGTCTGTTTGTTGTTTGGGCACTAAAAATATCATGTGTGTGCATGCATGTATGCAGATGTGCACATGAATGGCAGTTCACAGGGAAGCCCTGTGTAATTGCATCCTAAAATGGTTCTTGCTTTGGACAGGCAAGGAGGAAATAAATAAATCAATTGTATTTTTTAGCATTTTACAAAGGGTCTGGGTTCAATAGCGTCTCTGAGAATTGGCAATGTTCTTTAACACCCACGTCAATTGTGTCTGCGTTTGTGGTAGAATACCAGTGCCAACTGGACTGTGGGGCAGAGCTGAGATGCTGCCTCTCACCCCAGAGAGTGACAGTTCCTAACCCTTGATTGTTAAATCACGTTCGGGAGTCTCTTCAAGTAAGACAATTTGGGGAGGGTTTCAGCAAGCAAGGAGGCAGGACTGGCAACTCTGCATGGGAAGGTTTCTCCAGGAAGCGTGAATGTACTACAAAGCTTTTCAAGTAAAGGTATAGCACACAGCTGACATGGGCAGGTCGAAACAATGGCAAGAGTGGGCTTATTTTTTTGTTTTTCTGGGCTCAATAATTCCTCCTTTCCCTGCACATACCGGACAGGGTCTTTGTTTTGGAGGAGACATAAAATCTATACATATTCGGCAAATAGAAAGAGTGCATCTTAGATTCTAGGTCTAAGGGTCATAGTCAAGCCAGAAGCTCTTTCTGCAGAAGCTCTAGGCAGTTTGGATGGGACACAATGCTTCCTGGTCCCCACCATGTCATTCTGCAGCTAGGGGTGCCCAGGCTACTTCAAGACCTTAACCCTCGCAAGGACAAAGGGTCTTGGAAAAATCCCAGAGTCCATCAGTACAGTGCAGGAAATGGCACAGGGAAGTGGTGCATGACCTCAACTCTTGGCAGAAGAGTTCAGGCTCAGCTATGTGCTACTGTGACTTCACGTGCCACATAGATGAATGGGTCCCAGGGACTGTGGATGGTGCCAGGGCTAAGTCACAGACTACTTCTCTACCGCATGTCCTTACTGGCCACAGGACGATGATACCACCTCTGATGGCATCTTCAAACTGGTAGGAACTTCTGCTGACAACTTGACATCATGGATATAAATACAGAAATAAAAACAAGATTCATGCTTTCCTTTCTGCTGCTCCATCTTTCCTCATCTACCAGTATGAGAGCTGCTCAGTCTGGAGACAGGAAATCAGGTGAACTCAAGTAGAGCTTTTCAGCCGCAGGATGGGATCACCTCCCATTCAGAACTGGGTTAGACAGAGGCACGAGAGGTGCCAAATCTATGGGGTCACGGGGATACTTTTATAGGTTTTCCATTTTTGTCATACTGGTACACCAACATTTTGATACAGTGTGAGTTGGCCGGTGAGATCCAGGGACTACTTGTTATGGAAAAGTTATGGTTGGTGTAGAACTGTACAGGTTGCTTCTGACACTTGAAGAAGGCCTTGAGCGTGGCAGCTGCCATAGTGCGGAACCGCTTGCTAATGAAGCAGTAGAGGAAGAAGTTGATGGCGGTGTTCAGAAGGGCCAGCATGTTGGCAACGTCGGACATGATGTGCATCAGCCAGCGGTTCTGGATGGGCGCCCCATAGAGGTGGTAGAGAATCATGACGATGCGGGGTGCCCACAGGGTGGCAAAGATGGAGGTGATGGTGAAGAGGATGGCAGTGGTTTTCCCGGTGGAGTAGCCACGGAGGCGAAAATTGCTCTTTTTCCTGAGCTTGTACACGATGATGGAGTTCAAGATGAAGAAGATGGAACAGGGTACCAGGTACACCGTGAAGCAGTGAATCCAGATAAGGACGTGATGCATGGAGGTGCTGATGTAATCTTCAGTCCAGATGTCAGGCCACCAATAGTAAGGAATGCTGGTCAGGAAGCAGGTGATGTAAACGCTCACAATGACTTTCCGTGTGCGGGCCGGGTAGGAGACTGTGTGGTACTTCAATGGGTGGCAGACGGCGATGTACCTGTCAATTGTCAAGGGGACGGTAATCCAAATGGAGGTGTGGATGGACGAGAATTCCAGCACTTCTATGATCTTGTTGGGGACCTGAGGCATCTGCATGTTCAAGATGAAATCTTCCAAGAGGAAGTCTACAAATACGATGAAAAAAAGAACCAAGATGTCAGCAGCAGCTAGTGCCAACAGATAGTTGTAGGAGGACTTCTGCCTTCTAGCCACCAGCTGAGAAAGGATGATCACTGTCAAGATGTTTGCTGTAGAGAAATGAGAAAATGGTTTATCTCTGAAACAAAGATGATCTCTTGGCTAGTAGAGAGGCCCTAGGCATCTCATCTAAGTATATATGCTAGACCATCCCTATAGAATTGAAATGGATTGAACCAGTGTTTTTCAGGGATCATCTCTGCAATTCAAACTGCATCTCATACAAGCATCTGGATATTATTTAACAGTTATACCCAGGATGCAATTTATCTACATGAACCATGTAAGATGGTCAAACTGGGGCTCAGAGCTGTTAAGGAATTTGTTTGACAAGGACCAAACCTAGATCCACTGATTCCAAAACCCATGCTCTCTTTTGACCGCCAGCATGGAAGATGCAGGGTTGGAACAACTTTCCCTGCTTTTGGGTGTTCAGGTAAGAGAATGGACAATATGGCCTCTTAGGAAGCCTTTGAGACCTTGAAGTTTAGGATCTTTGCTTTTTAAATACATTTATAATTGAAGAAACTGAAAAGATCATGACCTTAACATTAATTTAAAAATAGATTATATTTGTTTTGGAGCCCTGGTATGGCACTGTAGGATAAGTACTGGACCACAAGGTCGATTTGAACCTCAAGGTGAGTGACTCAAACTCACCAGCCGCTACTTAAAAACCCTATACAGGTTCACTATGAGTTGGAAGCACCTAAATGGCACCTAACAACATTTCTGGAGTAGATAATATGCACACATTATATATAATTCAAAAGAGTAACAAAGAAAAGTAACTTCCCCCTCTGCCATTGTTCTCTAACCACCCCAGTTCTCCTTTTGAGGGCAATCAAAGATAACAATCTATATTGATTGGTTGGTTGGTTATGTGCCGTGGAGTCAGTTCCAAAGCTGTAAATCTTTATGGGAGCAGAAAGTCTCATCTTTCTCCCACGGAACAGCTGGTAGTTTTGAACTGCTGACCTTGTGGTTCACAGCCTGATTCGTAACCACTATGCTATATTAGAATGTTGTTATTGTTGTTAAGTGTGGTTGAGTTGTTTCTGACTCATTGCCACCCTGTATAGGGTTCCCAGGTTGTGCATCTTTGTGGGAGCACAAAGCCTGCGGAGTGACTAATGTACGTCTCTATAATAGTAGTGTACATAGTTTTTACATAAATAGTAGCAATCTATGATATCAATCCATTATTTTTCTCGGCATCAGATTTGTTTTGCAAATCCATCCATTGCAATTTCTGATTCTTTAAAAAAATCAATGTCTCCCTGAATAAGATGTATTTGGCAAGTCATAAGAACTCACTCCAATGCATCATATCTGGAAGCCACTCTACAAATTTATTTTCATTAGTTTTCAAAATCAACCCTGAAATGTGACCATTATTAATCCCATTTTGCAAACAAGAAGACTGGAGAGTTTATGTCCTGTTTTATCTGAGGTCCAGTGGGATGAGACAAATTACGGGGGAGGGATTAGACTGGAGGAAGTGACATTTGAGTTCTATCAAGGATGAAGAGAAGGGATTTGCCATACCAAGATCTGTAGGGAAGAATCCTAGGCAGTGGGAATGGGAAGTGCAAAGGCCCCGGGGTAGGAATGAGCTTGGTATGTTTATAGAACACAAAGAAGGCCTCTTATCTGTCCCTCTCATTTCATTGAGATGGAAACTGAAGCTTTGGGTTTTAAATGCTTTGCCTAAAATCACACACTGAACAAGTGGAGGAGCCAGAAAATGACTCAATTTCTGACTTGTTCATTCTTGATCACAGGAAAGGAGTCTCAGTTGGAAGGAAGTGGCTTCAGTGCTCCAGGCTGTACCTGACTTAGAAAAGCACATAATTTCTAGAATGTTCTTGGTTTTCTCTTTTTCCTCTCCATTAACCAATACCCACATTCCTTCTTCTGTCCCTGTCTCCCAAGTCTATTTTAAAACAAACAAAGCACACACACACACACACACAAACAAAAAAACACCCACCAGTTTTGATTTCGACTCATGGTGGGTCTGTGTGTCAAAGTAGAATTGTGCTTTATAGGGTTTTTGAGTTTTTTAAAATTTTATTGTGAATTAAGTGAAAGTTTACAGGGCAGATCATCAGTTTTGCATTCAACAAATCACATAATGTGTTTCATTACAATGATTATAATCCCGTCCACGTACCATCAGTTAACAGTATTTCTCTCTATTCATTTTAGCTCTTTTTTAAAAAAAACACTCATGCATATATAATAATTTAAACCACCAAAGGGCACATTCTGCAAATCTGCAACCTGGCCGCCATCTCTTAGTCCCTCTCTTTCCATGAATCTAGAGTCTTCAGCTGCTCCCTGTCTCCATGACCCCATCTCTGCCTCCATCTTTTGTGTCGCTGCTTCTCTTGATAACGTCTTGCATTCCGCTTGTGCTCTTCTCCCTTGATGGTCCCAGAGTCCTCTGTTTCTAGAATGTAAGATTAACTACTCCCCCGTTTTTGTTACAAAACTTTTTTTTACCTTTACAATTGTGACAGTCTCAGTCATGATAACATTACTCTCTATTGAATCAAAGAATCTTATCCCCATCTCTTTTTACCAGACCCATCTAGGCAAGATGAAAACTATTCAATGGAGACTCTACCTTCCCCCGCATACTCTGAAACTAAACTCCCTCTTGAAAACTTGTAAGCCATGCACTTTGTGCCTTTAACGCCTCTTCATTTTACGTAGTCAATGTCTAAGTTGTCCGTCCCTATCCCTCGGAAACCCTGTACAGGGTCGCTATGGGTCGGAACCGACTCGACGGCACTTAACAACAACAACAAATCTACCCTGTATACAGAAGGGATAGCATTGATACTTGATGTGAAGACTCCTTCCCTCTCTGTTGATATTTTGAGCTGCTACATACATGAGTATAGGTCAAGTTCATCAAATTGTAGCAATTTACCCTCATTTCCTTTATCAAAAAAAATGTTTCTTTTTTTGGTCAAGCTCTGATTATCAAGCCATCTAGGTCAAATGGTACTATCTGCAAGTTTGAGTGTTCTTGTGCATCTTCCGTCACTACATATCAGCTGGCTGCTCCACTCTTAGCTCTAGCCTTCTGTGGCTAGGTCCTTATCCATGGGCTCAGGTGTCCCCCCAGGTCTCACCACACTGTGGCACAACCAGCCCTTCCTCTTCTCTCTCTCATCTCCAGGTCAACAGGAGTCTATGGGACATGGTTGAACTCAGCCCATTTCTTCACTGCTGCCTTTCCCCCTCTTTCACTCACCAGTAGACCAATGTGGTCGCCAGCAAGCTTGCATGCCTGCTCATGTGTTCTCTTTGAGTTTCAGTCTTAGAGGTGGGCTTTAAAGGCTTTTCAGTGATTGATTTTTTAGTGGAAGTAGGTGGAAGTAGATTACCAGGCCTTTCTTCTGAGGATTTTGGGTGCACTTGAACCTCTTAACTTTTTGGTTAGCAGCTCAGCACATCAACCATTTGCACCAACTAAGGATTCCCGTAAGCCTACAAGGCTACAAGAATGGATGAGATGCTGGGGTCTCCCCAGAAATAATGTTAAAATTATTCAGAGTGATTCTTCACCACTGTTTCTTGACTCCTCACCTGAACCCTGTTTGGAGTTTGATGCTCAAAATGCTACATATTCTAACTCTTCTTTAAAAATATTCCATCCACTTATAATTAATGATTTAAGTCAGGCAGTATCATTAACGCCACATGAAATTGCTAGGTATTCATATTTGACATTTTCTGAAGTTTCTGGTAATTGCCTCTCTTGAGAAACTAACCCGTAGACATTGAGTTTCCTATTTCTTTTAAGTACAGGGAAATTTCCCCCCAAGGCAACATCCCCAGGATAAGAGAGATGTGTTGGCCAGAAAGACCCGAAGGGGAAGGAAATGATGCCTGGGTATTGATTTTCTGAAGAAGAAATGAGAAGGCAGAGTTTTTAACTTTTATGACTTGATATTTACTAAAGTTCCCCAAATCCAAGATTTTTTTCACAGTGGCACATTTTCCCCCGGAAACAAAGTGTGGTATTGACTATATCCATGTGTATTTATACACAGGAAGCTTATTGGATGGAGCCACCGCGCTCCCTAAGAACCCTGATGTTGCTGTTGCTAAGTGTCGTCAAGTCAGTTCTAATTCATAGCAACCCTGTATAGGGTTTCTAAGGAGCAGCTCTGGGTTTGAACCGCCGACCTTCTGGTTCACAGTCCAGTGCTGATTCTACAGCACCACACCAGGAATAATTTTCCATGCAGCTTCATTATTGGGTTTTTTTTCTGCTATTTGTCTTGTGGAACCCCTGTTGGGCATATAAGGGGCTTCTCTTCAAAGCTAGAGTCAGTATTCCCTCCTGTCTTTGTATCTCCCTTTATAGGGTCTCAGGTCAAGGGTGAGAGCAGGCCTGAGGCAGGTCCATGCTAGTCTATTGGCACTGGCTGTCTGGGTACTAGGGGTTGAGAAGTATTCTAAAACCATGCCTGGGTTTAGTGGACACCAGAAAGAAGCATATTATGACATTGTTGTTGTTGTGGTTGTGTGCCGTGGAGTCAGTTCCAACTCATAGCGACCCTGTACAGGGTTTCCGAGGCTGTAAATCTTTACGGGAGAAGAAAGCATCTTTCTCCCGCGGAACAGCTAGTAGTTTTGAACCGCTGACCTTGCTGTTCACAACCCAATTCGTAACCACTACACTACCAGAGCTCCTTATATTATAACATAACTTTGGCTCATTATACAAGTGAATTAATTTAAAGAAAACTGTAACTTGATAAACTCCTGATGTAGCTTTCTAGGATCAGCAATGGACTCCAAACCACAGGTGGCAGTTCAAACCCACCAGCTGTCCTCGGAACCCTATCTAGGGTCACTATGAGTCAGAATCGACTCGACAGCACTTAACAATAACACAACAACATAATTAAATGATAATGTAAGTGCAACACAGGCCTTGGGCCTCCATTTGACAAATGAGGAAACAGATGTTCAGAGAGGGTAAGTTACTTGCCCAAGGTTGCATGGCTGATCAGTCAAAGCACTC